CTCATCAGGGAGAGATTGATGATATGTTAATCTACTATATTGCACCTACTCAGAAGCCTCTGCACCAACTCCTAAGAATACTTCCCTGTTGTTCAAGTATATGAGAGGTGACATCATTCAGCAATAGATTCCGGTCCTTGACCTCCGTCTTTGTTGACATATGTACCTAGTGCTCCCACTCCTACTTCATCGCCCGACATACCCATTTCTCTTCGGAAAGGTAAACACACATGTACGTACCCCATTGCTTCTTTTGTATCTTATAATCAAATATTTGTCTTTTCACGTTCCTTCATTGCTCAGATAGATTCTATATCGATTCCTAAAACCGTTGGTGAAGCATTGGCCTATTCGGGATGGCGTACAATGATGGTTGAGGAATTGAATGCCCTTGATATAATGGTACATGGACATTGGTAGATTTGCCTACCGACAAAAAGGCAATCGGGTGGAAATGGGTATTCACTATTAAATATTGTGGCCCAACTTAAAGCTCATCTTGTTGCTACGGGATATGCTCAACAATATGGGGCTGATTACTCCAAACACTTTTTTTCCAGTTGCCAAACTCACTTATGTTTGATTGATCCGTCTCCTTGGCAGCTAACTTTTACATCAACTTGATATTAAGAATTTTTTTCTTCATGGTTCTCTTAAAGAAGAAGTGTATATGGAGCATCAACCTGGATTTGTTGTATGGATTGAAGCATAGTCCTTGAGCATGGTTTGGACCTGGTTATTCTGAAATATGGAATTAAAATGTGTAAGTTTGATCATATATTTTTTTACAAACGTTTTGAAAGTGGCGTGATCCTACTTGTAGTATATTTTATGTTATTGTGATTACTGGAAGTGATAGTCAAGGCATATCAAGACTAAAGATATTCCTTCAATCTCACTTCCAGACAATGGATTTGGGACCACTGAAATATTTCCTTGGAGTAGAGATCATGAGAAACAAAAGGGAATATTCTTATCACAGAGGAAATATGTTCTTGATTTTCTAAAAGAAACATGAAAATTAAGGGCTAAACCGTGCAGCGGCCCGATAACTCCCAATGTATGCCCAAGGAAAGGATGATGGAGACCATTCATGACCCTCAGAAGTGTAGATGACTTGTTGGAAACTAAATTACCTTATAGTAACACGCCCAGACATTGAACTTGTAGTTAGTGTCGTTATTCCATTCATGTCTACTCTAACAGTTAGCCATTGTGTGTTTGTTGGGGATATTTGGTTTCATGGAGGAGGAAGAAAACAAAATGGTATTTCGGTCCATGGCTGAATCGGATTATAGAGCTATAGCTGACTCGATCTGTGAGATAGAATGGATAAATAAGCTACTTAAGGAAGTTGGCCATGCGCTTGCATTTCATGCAAAGCTTTGGTGTGATAACTAGGCAGCCGTTCATATCTCTTCAAATCCTGTTTTTCACGAACGAACTAAGCATATTGAAATCGATTGTCATTTTGTTCGAGACAAGATTGAAGATGGGTTCATTGCAACACGACATGGTCTGTGAGAAGATTAGTTAGGAGACATTTTTTACAAAAGCTGTGAATGGGAACCATATTAACTATAAAGTAACAATTTGAGCATGATCAATATTAATGCTCCAGCTTGAGGGGGAGTGTTATGGAATCAACAATAAGAAGAAACAAAATCATTTAGAATAGGAAATTATAGAGATTTGATTTTGTAACCACTCAAAAAGGTGATATCTTTCTCATTCATTTAGAGGAAACTTTACACTAATATATATATACACAAAGGAACCCTATTTATGGAAATTATACTATCACACTAAGAAAGGGAAACCCTAATTTGCTTATCTTACACTCCTCCTCAAGTTAGAGATGTTAATCGTGCCCCACTTGCGACAAATAAAATCTATTTGTGCTTTTCGTAAAGGCTTTGTTTGAATGTCTATAAGCTGGTTGATGAGTATCGATTGAATTGATGGAGGGTCTGTCTGAGTTCCTACAACACGGTCTCTGATAAGATGACAATCAACCTGTTTGGTCCTCTTATGGAATACTTGATTCTTGGCTATATGATTAGTTGTCTGGTTATCACAATACAGTCTCGTTAAGTCATCTGTAATCACTCCAAGCTCACTTAGAAGCCTCCTTACCCATATCATTTCGCATGACACATCTTTCATGGCTCTACTCTAACTCAACACTTGATCATGATACAATATGTTGTTTCTTGCTTTTCTAAGAAATTAAGCTTCCTAATACACAATACCCATTAGTCAATTTCCTAGAAACACAACAACAGCCCAATCCGTAGTGACCCTAATCTGAATAGAGTATCCATAAGCCTTGAGATACCTCAAAACATGAAGTGTTGCATCTAGTGACCTGTTTAATGAGCGGACATGAATTGGCTCAAAACACTAACCGAAAAAAATATATCTAGTCGATTAACTGTCAAATAGTTTTACTTTCCAACCAATCTTGTGTATCTCTCTCTCTCTCTCTCTCTCTCTCTCTGTGGATCCTTCATAGGATATCCATCATTTGAAAGAAGTTTTCCATTTGCAAGCATCGGCATCAACTTGTGGATCGCGCGCACTATGTGGAAGTGTTTTTTGGGGGTTGCGCTAAGGAAAACTTTCCCTTTTAATTGTAGGATAGTCTTGGATCTTTTTCCGCGTTGATTTAGATCATCTAAAAGGAACGAGCCGCCATGAGCACTCCCATTGAACGACATGGCTCCATTAGCTTGGGTAAGGTGGAGGATAAATTTCAATTAACTTCCACGTCCACTAGTTTACATCTAGTAAACAACACTTAGTAAGCATATCAGGAACATATTTATGTTGAGATAAAAGAATCCGATGCAGTGATCGAGATACTTCTATCCCAAAGAAGTAACGAAGCCGTCCAAAATGAGTAAGTTGAAACCGAGTATGTAGAAATTGTTTCAGCTATGAAATTCCGGTGTTATCATCTCCAGTGATAATGTCATCTACATAGACCACTATAATGATTCATCGAGCATCATGGTGTTTAAAGAACACATAGGAGCTACCAAACTCCTGGAGAAATGTTGATCTGAACTCTCTCAGTGATTTGATGATGACTTTTAACCGGAAGCGCCCCTTCTTTCAAAGAGAAGAGGACGGATTATTCACATTTCAAATACTTAGTGAAAAGTACGTAGTTCTGTTTCATTTAGTTTCAACAATCATTTATGAGTTTGTTCAGTGATCGCTGAACATTCATTGTAAACAACCTTAGAACTTAAGTATTTGCTAAAGACAAAACTCACACCAAAGAAACCTTCAATGATGTTGAAGAAGTAGCTGAAAGAAAGAGACAAGTCAGTTCGTGATTTGAAGCGGACTCAGTGATAACAAGACTGTCTAGAAAAAAGTGTGAAATTATTCAAGACTCAGAGATAGCTGAAGAGTCCTCAGCGACTACTTACTATTACGCATCAAAGAGTCTTGCTCAATAAGATTAGTTTTTGTCTTATCCTCTTTTGTACAATCCTATGCTTCCACCAAATAAAGGTATATGCATGGGTCACTTTATTGTTCCCCACGTGCTTACCAACTACCTGAAGTAACTGTTCATATGGGGCCAAAATCCTGGCACATCTGATGAACAAGGACAAGCCTTCCACTCTTTTCTTGACACATGGATTGTACGCTCTAAGGAGCATTAAATGCAATGGGTATAAATAGCTAAGAAGACTCTTCTTCTCAGCTACACCTTCTTCCTCAAGACTCTTTTATCTCTTATTCTTATCCTCTTTGTGCATCTACTTAGTGATTCTCTTAGATTTTTTAGATTAGGTTTTACCTTATTATATTCCACAACAATTTGTAAATTATGTATTGATGTTCTCATATCAATAAACGAATTTAAAAAGTAAAATTTGTGTGTTTATATTCACCCCCCTCCTACAAACTGTTATAATTATAAACTCTTGTAGAACCCTTTTCAGGACCAACAAGAACATCTAGAAAACGTCCAAACATCTCTAGGGGACTGTATGAGACCACACAATGAAGGTTGTAGTCGGCATACCTTTGTGGCCTCCTCCTCAATAACAAACTCAGGTGGTTGTTCCGTGAACACGTCTCCTCAAGAATACCATTAATAAATTAAGAAAGGCATTCTTAGCATCCAATTGATAAAGCATCCAAGACAACTGATGTTCTTCGACATTCTTTCACTTACTCACTTCAAGGCCTCTTCCCACAACTCATTTGACAAGTATATTGGAATATTAAACAACTCATTTGACAAGTATATTGGAATATTACACCTTTAGTTAGAGTTGTACAAAAATTTCGTTGAAATTCAATTAGAGTAAAGGTGACAACTCTTGCACCCAAAAAACAATAGGGATGTAACTTAATTTATTTGTTAATTTCAATAATATTGTTTTCTATTCCTTTGTTGGACTTATCTTATCAGTTATGGGAGTAAGCCTTCTCTCTGCTTGCCTATCTGTTCATTCCAGCATCATACTGGTATACAAGACAAACAGACTTTGGGTGTTTATCATGGTGTAAGTAGTGTTGTGCAAGGTGTTTGTCTTCTCATAGATATTGTTGTGGACAATTGTTATAGTAGTGTTCAATGTAGTTGTATTAATTGAACTCTTATGGCTGAATATTTACCGAGACTCTCTCTCTCCCCCTCCCTCCCTTTATGTTCCTCCCTGGCCCTTGCTATGCAATGAAATACATCAATCAAATTTTTTGGACACTTTGGAAATTTACCTCACCTTTGAGAAGGTTCATTCCGTGCAATCGATAAAATAATTAAATGGAAAAAGTTGAATGAATTTGCATGCAGTTTCCTCCTTAATTGTGAGGGGTGTTAATCTCCTTTTCTATATGTGTGTATGCATGATTTCTTTCCATGTAACATCATTCATACAACGACTGTGTGAAATCCAAAGCCTTTAGATGTCTATACCTTCGTTTCTTTTAATATTCAAAAGATTTTGATTTGCCTTCTGCTCTCATTTTAGGGATGAATCACTTCTATGTGAAGGATTGGCTTTGAATGATGAGCTTCAGAGAGTGCTAGATAAACATGAAGCACTTGTTTCAAGAGCTTCTGCTCCATCACAGAAGTTGAGAGTCGTAGCTAAAAATGAAGCACTTGTTTCAGGAGTTTCTGTTCCATCAGAGAAGTTGGAGCCCAAAACTAGTCAATTAGCATTGGTACCTGTGGATGCTCCTTTTATTGATACGAGAGAGAGGCGAATTCCTGGGTAATCAAGTTTATTGTTTGTTTCGGTTGAGTACTTTTTGCCTCTATGACTTTAAAGTTACATCCTCAATTACGATAGGCAGTAAAATTACATGAAGTACATCATTGACCCCATATAATACTAGAATTGGCTTTTGCACTAATTCTCTACAAATGCCAAGAACCAAAAAATCACCTTGACTTGTAAATGGCTAACGTGTCAAAGAAATGAGACAACAATCCAATATGACCAGAAGAGTCTTATCTAGTTCAAAGAGTAAGAAATTATTTGAAAAACAATATAATGGATCACATGTTTAAGAGATCTCTTTTAAATACTATAGTCATGTTGACTCTGCACTTGTACATATAATTCTCTGGATCTTTTCTTTTCTCTAAAGAATATTAAACAATTTTTAGTATATATTGTACGACACTGTGCTTCACGTTCCCCCTTTGCCACCTTATGTGTTGAATGATTCTTAATACTTTACGTGTTTCATGATCTCTAACAAGTTAATTCTTATAGGAGGGAAAAAAACAAGTCCTCTATTAGAAGTTCAATCTTGAGTGCTTGCCCTTGAAAGATTAATTTTGTTTTAATGTTCTTGAGAACTACATTATGGAAACTTGGGTTGTTTCATCATTTTTCCGGTTGATAGTTCAATGTGAATGGTAATATCACTGCAACAAAATAGGTCTTTTAGGAAGCACATGCGTCCCAATAGAATACTTGATAGGACTTAAGTTTGTAGTTACAAAATCGGCATCCTATCTAATGACATGACAATAAGCTATTAGGACGAAGTAAGACGACCTAACAAGTTCTATCTACGAAGTTGGGCAACTTAATAGGACACAAAAAGTAAATCATCCTACTAACTTTTTTATATGACAATTTTGAAAAGTGTCATATTTAAGAATGGTTAATAGAAGGTTTTCAAAAGTGACCTATATAAAATTTTATAGGACTATTTACTTTTTATGTCCTATTAGGCTGTTCAACTTTGTCGATAGAACTTGTTAGGTCGCCTTCGTAACAACTTATCATAACACCTTTAAATAGTACGCTGGTTTGTGGTCCTTTAAACTTAAGACACGTTAAGTACTCTATTATTAGGACGCCCAAAGACTGATGGTGTCTTTGATGACCAATTTTGTTGTATATTCCACTGAAAGGTTTCTCATTCGAAAGCTTTCCCTCCATCTTGTGCAGATCTACCGTTGGTGCTTGTGATGGTGAAGAGACTAAATTTCTTACTCCTACTACAACTAGTGGACCTTCGACAACTTCAGTGAAGGTCAATCCCATGTTTGACCTTCTAAGTGGAGATGATTTTAGCATACCAATTGCTGAAAATTTCCTAGCTATTGTGCCATTGGATGAAACTCAGCCTGCTACTCCTGTATCTCGGCAGAATTTGGTGTCCCAAAATAGCAAACCGCAAAATCTTGCACAAGAACAAACAAATTCTTCGTCACCTCAATGTCAACATGATTCTTCCAAGCAAACCTCTTTTAAACTAAATGGAAGCTTACCCAATTATGAGCCAATGTCCCAGAACACACAAGGATCTATTCCAGCAGCTGGACAGACATATTCTGCTCCACCTAAATTTAGAGAGTCCCAACAATTTCCATCACAACAGACCTCATTTCAACTAAATGGGAGCATACACAATAAGATTACACCCCGATACGAGCCAGTGGCTTTGTATACACAAGTCTCCAATCCTGCAGCTAGACAAAGATTTTCTTCTTTACCTCAACTAGAGCAATCGCAACATGTTCCATCTCAGCAGCCCTCGTTCGGTCCAAATGGAAGTGTTTCTGTCATACTTTCACCTCAATATGAGCCACGGTCCCAATACACGCAAGGGTCGAGCCCTACAGCTGAGCAAACATATTCTTCTTCACCTCATTGTCAACATTTTCTAACTCAGCCGCCAACGCTTAATCCAAATGGAAGTTTAGCCGGCATTGTTCCACTTCATTCTGAGCCAACATCTCCATGCTCACAAGAGTCTAATCCTGCATGGAATGGTCATACTCCTCAACAGAAGCAGCCATCTTCACCTGTTTATGGTAAGACATGATGATCATAAAACTGTCTTGCAGAAGGGACTCCATGCAATTCCTGTTTTTCGTCCTGATGAATATTATATAAATGTAAATAGGTTTTAGGGTCATGCTGTTGTCTACTTGATATCTTCTATGAAGCCATTTTAAGAAATGGGGATTGAAAATCGAGTTTGATACCACAAAAGGATTCTAGAAGAGGCTATCTGATGTGTTTTGGAGTAATTATGTTTTTCTCATATGGTCGTCGTGATTATGTGGTGAATTTAACTTGGCAACTTAAAGCATGTGAAGCTTTTCTTTGAAAGACGGAGGTGTGTGGTGTTTGAGATGGATGATTATGTAGTGCTAGGCGATCTTGCTAGGAAACCACTTGATGTTGATAACAGTTTGTAAAGCTGCAAGCTATAGGGGCTATGAAGGTTAGCCTCCATCGAGTCAGATTAAGCTTTTAAGCTAGTTGTTGCTTAATCTGTTGTTACCAGAGAATGATTCACATGCGGGTTAGCAGTTCATAAAGACTACCTGATACGGGAGAAAAAGATTACCTTTTTTATAGAGAACCACTAAAAGTGAAAGCAATAGCAGTTCCTACTGAAAACATGAAGGCTCGATAAAATAGATTGTCCGATGGTTTTGCTCTAACATCAGTCCAAATACCGTACAAATAAAAAATCTGATTTATTTTCATTTATTTGTGTTGATTACTGCATGAGCAGCTAAAGTTGAATTTATGGGGTCGGATAGGAGTTCCTCCCCATGAGTGGGCTATTAAATTTCTATGTGGCTATAGGTTGTTTAAACATATGATTCCAAACATCATCTATTGATCAGTACTTGACTATTGAGATGTAAGGATCTCTGGCGGAGTGGCGGTTGTATTGATGGATTGTATAAAACAACCGAGATATGCATTTAGCATGCAGCTACTGTTGTTCTCCATTAAAATGTTGCTTTTTTCCTATGAAAAGGTGTGGTTAGTCTGTGATTCTATGCAAATTATAATGTGATGTGGGTGCATGCTTTGTTGGTTCATTTAACCAAGAAAGTTAATCCAAGCAGGGTTTGTAGTGTCACATTTGTTCTGAAGACCTCCTTTTGTTAGGTGGTACTAAAATCCTATCATGTGTTTCTTTCATAGGTGCTCAAACAAGGAATGGAGGACTACCACCACCACCCTGGGAAACACAGTCAGAAGACAGCAACCAATTAGGAGGCATGCACTACCCAACTCCGGGAAACGACAATAATCAGCCAATGGGAAAGTATATGCAGCAACAAATCACAGGGGGATGTCTGCCACCCATGAGCCACCATCTCCAACAACATATTACAAGCGGCAGTCCTCCACCGATGAGCCACCAGATAATCCATCCCCAACAACATATTACAGGCGGCAGTCCATCACCCATGAGCCACCAGGCAATCCATCCACAACAACATATCACAGGTGGCAATCTGCCACCCATGAGCCACCAGGCAATCCATCCTCAACAACATATTACAGGAAACCCTCTATCACCCATGAGCCACAAGGCGACAATCAATCCAGCTCAACAACAAATCACAGGTGGCCCTCCATTACCCATGAACCACAAGGCAATCCATCCAGCTCAACAGCAAATTACAGGTGGCCCTCCATCACCCATGATCCAACAGGCAATCCATCTTGAACAAATTCCTCAACAACAGTTTCGAGGACAGCACACTATGGGTGTGATCCCACACTATCATATGGCTTATATGTATCCTCAACAAATGTATGGTGATCCCTATGGCTATGGTGGTGGCTACAGGTATAGTTATGGGTACACACAACCACAACATGCTCACTTCCTCGATCATAGAATGTCATGGTTGCCTGTGAGAGATGATGGTTTCTTGAACAGCACAGTTTATGTCAACCCTTCTACATCAAATGCATCAGATGTGCATATGCCATCTCCAAACCCTCTAAATCCAGAGGACAAACTATTCCAAGACCTTCTTGATGTAACCAATAAAACTACTGGTAAAGCTGTGATTTAATTTCTTTTTTGTCTTATAAATTTCTGTTTGGTAACTTGCTTTTGTATATATTCTTAGCTTGGGTGTTTATAGGTCTATTCTAAGAATTTATGTATGTTCCATGCTGCAGGGAAAAAGTAACCAGAAAACACAATAAGGTTTGAATTTTGGCCCCTTTCTTTTATGTTCTCATGCTAAATGTTATCAGGGATTTTTTCTGCACATTTATTTGTTGCAATTTGACTCGGAACACAGTTTAATCGGCGTCTATTAGCATGCATGAATCTGTATTTGATCTAATTGTTGATGGTTATTTTTCTTACAGGAATCATAGCAAAATTTGAGATCAAGTGGTGGCTTTCATTTGATTATTTGCACTTGCGCTTAGTTGACTACTTGTAGCATGATTCCCGTATGGCGGTTTTAACATAAACCTGTTGTTTAAGACTGAAAAATTGCACAAGTATCTCGTGCTCAGATATGTGTGGCATGATTGATAAGGACTTGTGTTTTTGAAACAGAACAAGAAGAGAGTAATCTAATCTTTTTATTCTTTGAAGCATTTAGTTCTTTTAAGAAACACTGGATTTGAGGAGAGAAGCTTGATTGATTGTCAAACAAGAGTGTTGCTGGTTTAAAAAACTTCAACACAAGTTCAAATAGAAGATGATGTATTCACATGTGAATTGTGCAATACTCCTGTTCTTGGATTTTGCATGTTTTATATATTCAAATTGATGAAGGAAGTTTGGGACTCTCTTTTACTCCGGTGATGCCTATTTTCAGCTTTCTCCCTAAAGATGTTTTCCCAATGTTTCAGGCTTATTAACATTTTCTTGTCAACAAGCCATTCACAAGTTTCTTGCCAATTCTTTAAGAAACCCAATTTTCTGCACCTTTAAACCTGAATAACTCAGTCTTCTCTCTCAATCGCAAGCTCTGAATCACTCCATCCAAAGCTCTAAGCTCTGAAACCCTAAATGGCAATTCTTGATTTGAGCCTCGAGGTATGTATGCCATGGTGTAATCTTTTTTGTTCTGATAGTTTTTCTATAATGTAAATGGTGGACTGCTTTGATTGATGAATGTTTGGTTTAGTTGGGTGATGGTTTGCACACCAACTATTTGTAGTAATGTCTACCTTACTTTCGGAATTTTGTTTATTCAATTTATGATCAAAGAGGAACAATTATTTCAAGAAAGATTTGTTGTTTGAAGAAAAAATCTATGTGCAAAGAATTTTTGCCATTCCTTCAAGATTTAGCAAACGAAACAAGCCCTAAACCCCATTTCATTTAAAGATCCACAAAATCTCATTAAAGAGCATCTCCAATCGAACGACAAAACTCTATATTTGTCGTTTTCTTTGAACTAATCGAACGGCAAAATCACTAAACATTTGCCGGAGGGTTAATTTGAACGGCAAATTTGCCGTGCAGGTTTTGGGACACCAAAAAGGTGGTCCCCACCACTATCCCTTTAATCCAATTTTTTTGATAAATTATAAGTAAATAATACAAATATTTACTTTTTAGTTTTTATATTTATTATGTAAATTTATATGTATATATAAAAAATAAATTATTAATAACACAAATATGATACCGGATAAACGTAAACGTAGTTTATTAATGGAAATTTTAAAAACTAAAATACATAAATCAAAGGGTCCACTGGTTTCCGCTAGCCATATAGTGACAAAAAATTTCTTGCTACGTTCTGAGATCCTTCGGCTTGGTCTTGAACTCTTTCTCCAAATTCTTGATGTTGAGATGCTCGATATTGAGATCCTATGTATTTTGATCCTTGTCTAAACGTATGAACCTGGGGTTCTGTTCTCTCTCTCGCTATTCAAATTTTCTCATTTTTTATGAACTCATAACACACAGGATCAGTGATAGAATTTAGATCAGTTTATGAACTCATAACACACAGGATGAGTGATAGAATTTAGATCAGTGAACATAATTTTGTCATCCGCCAACCTTAACTCTATCGCATTTTTCTGAGCTTGAATCTCATTTCTTCTCATCATAACTTCATTGTTTTTAGCTATACATTTGCTCTTTTTTTTTTTACTAGCCTTGACTAAAGTCTAGCTTATTATCAAATTGGAGCCTTGATTTTGCCTTTTTCACACTAATTGGTCTTTGAGTTACATCACTACATTCTGCGTCGTGAATAGTCAACGAGGGTAAACTGACATCTGTCCCAGACAATGAACAAAGACCAGAAAAAGGTGACTGATAAGGACTTTGTCGTTGATATTGAGTCGATGTAGTGACATTTGATAAACTCTCGGAGTCTTTCTGGATGTCCAAGACATGATCAAACTTAAAACCCTTCTTATAGAATACGTCTAGTTTTAACAACTCTTTTGTTTCGTTCATCTATGAAAAATACACGTTATATTTAAATTAATAAAACAATGATCAACTAAAACAATAAATACTTATGATATCTTGTTCAGAAGCACCACTTGGATTCCCCATTTGAACTTGATTGATACACCCTCGACATTTTTTGGCAGCTTTTAGAATGCAAGACATTCTCGTTTCCAATGATCTTCTTGGTCGAGGATTGGTTACGAACGGTTCGGTTGCATGATATTGAGTTTCTACTCTTGACCAAAACTTATCTTTTGTTTGGTTTCTACCTATTATTGGATTTTGAGTTATATCAAGATAACAATGACATAGATGTATGTCTTTGTTATCTTTGTAGAATGAACTCCGGATTGTTGAAGATATTTTTATGAAAAGTTTGGTAATATTCTTATGAAAATGTGTGTGATTTAGCTTACCGAATCACCCCTTATTTATACATGAAAATTCCAGTTCACTCCAAATGAAGATAGATTAGACAACACACTGGTAAGATTCTTCTGAAAAGTCTAGTAAGATTCTTCTGAAAAGTCTGGTAAGATTCCTTCGTATTTTGGATGCTATCCAAAGTCACGACAACTACTTTCTCCAACGAAGGGATGGATACGGCAAACTTGGGTTATCCGGTTATCAAAAAGTTACTGCTGTATTTCGAATGTTGGCATATGGCGTTTCTACAGATTTTACAGATGAGTACATTAAAAGAGGAGAATCAACGGTTTAAGAAGCTTTGAAACTATTTTGTCATGCCATCGTGGAGGTGTTTGAAGACCGCTATCTCCGAACACTCAATGCTAATGATGTGGCACGACTACTCCAAATTGGAGAACAACGAGGTTTTCCAGGAATGTTAGGTAGTCTAGATTGTACACATTGGAAATGGAAGAATTGTCCAATGGGTTTATTGGATTTCAATTCTTGGTCCATATCCTCTCCGTATTTATCAATATCCTCTCCTTATTTATCTCCTTATTTAGTGGTTTCCTTTTTATGTTTTCTTGTTTATATATAGGGTTCGTTTCTTCTCTTGATGTAATTAGAACAACAATATCAATAAACAATCGATATCTTGAGTTTATAATGGTATCAGAGCGGTGATCCTACTGCTCCGACGAAACACATGGCCGAAGACGTAGCAACATCGGAAAAAGACAACGGCGGCAACGTCGTTGATTACAACTCACCATATTACCTGCACCCTTCCAATTACCCTAGACAAATGCAAGTCAACGATGCATTGTCAGACAAAAATTATGCGGATTGGGTACAGGAGATGGAGAATTTCTTATTCGCAAAAAATAAGATCGGTTTCATCAATGGGTCAATTGAAAAGCCAGAAAAGACATCCAAGGATTACATGCCATGGATGAGAGTGGATGCGATGATAAAGGGGTGGCACACCACTGCCATGGAAAAAGAAATAAGAGGCGGCATGAAATACGCGAACACCGTTGTAGAGATGTGGATCGATCTTCGTGAACGATTTGGGAAAGAGAGCGCACAGAGGGCATACGAACTGAAAAACAAGATCGCTGTCACACACCAAGACGGAGCCATCGTTTCGGCTTACTACACAAAGCTTCGATCATTATGGGATGAAATCCAGTCGGTGTTCCCCATCCCATAGTGCACGTGTAATGGGTGTACGTGTGACATCGGTAAGCGGCTTGTTGCACATCAAGAAAAAGAGAGGCTGTACGAGTTTCTTATGGGTCTCGACAACGGGTTCGGAGTTTTCAAAACCCAAATCCTTGCCACCCAACCAACTCCAGGTATCGGGACAGCCTATCATCTCATTGTAGAAGATGAACGACAAAAGCTGATAATCGAAAATAAGAAGCCTACTGTGGAAGCCGCCGCCTTTAAGGCTTTTGTTCTCCAAAACGTGACAACTTTTTCTCCTCACAACAAAAAGCGAAGACATATTCAAAAACAACAAAACAAGAAGAAGAGGTACAATACTGCACTCATTGTGATCGGGATGGACATAATCGAGAAGGTTGCTTCAAACGGATTGGTTACCCTGAGTGGTGGCCAGGGAAAGCGAAGGGAGACAAGACAAAGCCGAGGGCCTCCTGCGTTGAGGGTGGTTCGAGTCCCATTCCTGGACTCACTATCAAGCAATACAATCTCTTCTTGAAACACTTTGAATGTGGAACCAATACAGGTGATGAAGGGAACAAACGAGTAACCAACATGACAGGTAGAATTGATAATAAGGATGATTGGATTGTTGATTCGGGGGCTACCGATCACACAACCTATCTAAGTAATATCCTTGTTAACAAAAGAAAAGACCCTCTTGGAATGCCCATGGTTATCCCTAATGGAGATACCATCCTGGTTGAGGGTAAGGGTGATTATACTCTACCGGGAGGCACCAAGATCGATGGCATATTACACGTACCAAAGTTTACTTGTAATATTTTATCCGTTAGCCGATTAACCAAAAACCTTCAATGTGCTGTGACATTCTTTCCTGATTTTTGTGTAATGAAGGGTCTCCATTCGAGGAACTTGATTGGTGCGGGTAAGTGCAAGGGAGGTCTATACCGAATGGGGATGTTTGAGGAAGAAAAGAAAGCTATAACAGTCACTGTTGAAAGATGGCATAAGAGGTTGGGTCACACATCGCAAGAAAAGCTAGCTAAAGTTGATTTCTCAAAGGTGTTTCCTTTAATCTTAGAAATAGTGTTTGTGATTCCTGTTCCAAAGCTAAACATACAAGATCTCCTTTTCTGTTAAGTGAAATTAAAACCAAAGCATGTTTTGAACTATTACATTGTGATGTATGGGGAAAATATCGAATTCCTTCATTCTCTGGAGCAAATTATTTCTTGACCATTGTGGATGATTTCAGTAGGAATGTTTGTATTTTTCTCGTTAAATATAAAAGTGATGCTAGTACCTGTTTGGTGAATTTTTGCAAAATGGTTGAAAACCAGTTTAATAAAAGCATCAAAAGAATAAGATGTGACAATCGTGGGGAATTCACGTCAAATCTCATGTTGAACTTTTACACCAAGCAAGGCATTTTGTTAGAAACCACGTGTCCTCACACGCCTCAACGAAATGGGGTTGTTGAGCGTAAGCACCGACATTTACTCGACACGGCTCAAGCTCTGCGTTTTGAAGCCAATTTGCCAAAAAGGTTTTGGGGGGAATGCGTTCTTACCGCTGTGTACATCATCAACCGATTACCCTCTAAAACTCTTGGTGATAAAACTCCATATGAATTACTATACAACCAAAAACCCGAATATGATCACATGAGGGTCTTTGGTTGTCTAACTTATTTTTGGAGTATCGAAACAAAGGGTGACAAGTTCGAAGTAAGGGGGAGACCCAGAATTTTTCTTGGTTATTCTCAAAGGACAAAAGGCTACAAAATATTTGATATTGAAAGCAAGAAAATGGTGGTGTCACGAGATGTGAAGTTCCATGAAAGCACTTTTACCTTCCCAGTTCAAACTCAAGCTTCTAATGATTCTAATGTCTTTGTTCCCATACAAGCTCAAGACGTTGAAGGCCAAAATCATAAGCAAAATCATGAGCAAAATCACGAGGTGGAATAAGATGGGCCTAACTCTAGCCCACCGAACTTGGATGGGCACATGATGGAGAACGATGGAAGTAGGCCAGACACAATCCATGAAGAAATAACTACTCAAAATCTCGAAACACACACTGATCTGGGAAACTCTCGACCAAAGAGGGACCGAACACAACCTAAACGCCTGAATGATTTCATTGTTGATCTTCCCCCTTCGGTTGACCATGCACATACCGCATCAACTCAAGCCACCTCAACGGTACATCCCATTGCCAATTATCTTTCTTATAATAATTTTTCTAATACTCACAAGAATTTCTTGGCGGCCATCACCACCACTGATGAGCCGAAAACTTTTAAGCAAGCCATGCAAGACCCAAGATGGATTGAAGCCATGAAGAAGGAGATTCAAGCCCTTGAACAAAATAGCACATGGACCATTGAGTCTTTGCCAGAAGGAAAACGAGCCATTGACTCTAAATGGGTCTACAAGATTAAATACAAGCCAAATGGAGATGTCGAAAGATATAAAGCGAGACACGTCGCAAAGGGGTTCACCCAGATCGAAGGAGAAGATTTTCATGATACGTTTGCTCCAGTAGCTAAAATGGTAACTGTTCGAACGTTATTATCCGTGGCTACTAAAAACAATTGGTTCATCCACCAGCTCGACGTCAATAACGCCTTCCTTCATGGTGATCTTGATGAAGAAGTGTATATGAAGATACCACAAGGTTTTTTCACRGAGAAAGACGATCRTRTTTGCYGTCTGCGAAAATMTCTCTACRGTCTCAAACAGGCCTCTYGAAACTGGTATCAAAAGTTTACCACTGCCCTCCTCGGTCTCGGCTTTTCTTCATCCAAGGCAGATCATTCGCTTTTTCTCTACAAACATGACAACACTATCCTTTTCATTCTCATCTACGTCGATGACGTCATCATAGTTGGAAACGATTCCAAGAAGATACACGAAGTCAAACAATGTTTGCATGACAAGTTCAGCATCAAAGATCTTGGGGAACTGAAATATTTTCTTGGAATAGAGGTGGCCCAAACTTCTCGTGGTCGCGTTTTAGCAAACAAAAGTACACTCTTGATATATTAGAAGACAGTGGCATGGGAGGATGTCGCCCGAGTTCATTCCTCATTGAACAAAATCTAAAGCTTGTTATGGATGATCAAGAACCCAAGGTTGATGCCAGTAGCTATCGACGTCTTATTGGTCGACTCCTTTACCTCCAGGCCACTCGTCCGGACATAGCCTACTCGGTTAACACTCTCAGTCAGTTTGTTTCAGACCCTCGTCAGAGTCATATGGATGTCGTGTCTAGAATTCTTTGATGTCTCAAGGCCACTCCCGGTCAAGGCATACTTTTACCGAAAGAAGGTGGCACGAATCTGGTTGCATACGCTGGTTCAGATTGGCTTGGTTGCCCTCTCACTAGGCGTTCTCGAACCGGTTACCTTGTTCTTCTTGGTGGTGCTCCTATTTCGTGGAAAACAAAAAAGCAATCCGTTGTCTCACGCTCATCCGCTGAAGCTGAATATCGTGCCATGGCTTTAACTGTTAGTGAACTCATCTGGTTACGATGGCTTTTACAAGAGATAGGCCTTCCACAACTTGGCTCTACCACACTTTTCTGCGACAATCAAGCAGCTCGGCATATCGCCAACAATCCAGTTTTTCACGAACGCACTAAACATGTTGAAATGGATTGTTATTTCGTTCGTGAACGTGTTGAATCCAAGGAAATTTGTCTTATGTCCATCGACTCAAAGCTTCAACTTGCTGACCTTCTCACAAAGGGGCTTGGAGCGTCGCAACTTCGTTTCTTACTGGACAAGCTGGGCGTTGTCAATTTACACGCTCCAGCTTGAGGGGGAGTATTGGATTTCAATTCTTGGTCCATATCCTCTCCGTATTTATCAATATTCTCACTTTAAACTTCGTAATGCATTAATTGATCATTTGTAGGACGAGTATACTAACTCGGAGAATTAGTACTATTTATGTGTTTTTTTAATTTATTCTATTTGAACTAATGTAATCTTTTTTAATATAAAATTTATTAATTAAATATTTATCATTTTTATTTTAACAGTTCTTCATTAAATAAATTAATTACTAATTATTTATTATTATAATATCTATTACAAATTATAATTATTGTTATTGTTATTAAAAATAGTAAATAAAATATGTTATTTTAATGTGGGGTCTAGAAATTTGGTGTTTTTTAGATTGTGATTGAAGTTGAGTTTTTTTAGTGTTTATGGGCCCACCATATTTGGTGTTTTTGATGATATGGTTGGAGATGCTCTTAGAGTGTGATCGGTGGCTCTTTTATCCGGCATAAAAGAAAGAATTCATTAATGTCTCGTGTGGTTTGCAGTAATGGAATGGATTTAGGGGATTTGCATTTCAAATCCATTCTAATTCCATGTTTTGTTTGTTGGATTGTCCGGATTTGAAATCTTCAGATTTGTTTGGCTTGCAGAAATGGAATGAATTTGAAGGGATTTGGATTTCAAATCCATTCCAATCCATGTTCGGTTTGCAAGATTGTTCGAATTTGAAATTCTAAGATTTATTTCAAAATCCCTCAAACATAGGATATCAAAATCCCAAGGGTTTGATTGGGATTTCAAGAGATTTCGTAGGATTTCTATATAATAATATTTTAAAATATGTTTAAAACACTTGTTTTCTAATAAAATGAATTCGGTAGTATTCTACCCTATGGTAGATCGAAGGTCCTGTGCCACTTTCACTCAAATCTATCTTACCTTCAATCCATGGTTGTCCAACCAAGGTAGCCCATAACAAAATGTTAGACCGGCTGACACAACCGAATGGTTTGAGGAAAAGGAAAGCCCAGCGACCAAGCACTCCCGCCCCCAAAAGCGGAGACCGAAGAACCGCCAGGTTGTCGAGGACACGTCTGAAGAGGAGGCTGGCGGCCTCTAAGTTTACCACCCTACCCACTAATGGACTATGCTTGCTTTCAATAGTGGAATATTTTCTACTAAAAAACAAACTCATAAAATGAACTTACTACTATTTGTTGTGTGCT